GTGGGGAGGATATAAAAAATAGTAAGGTGCCGAGATCGCCAGTGAGGGGGGAAATGGAGGGAGTAGAAGGGATACAGGAGATGTTGAAAGGTTGGAGAGAGGAAAGAGAGGATATAAGGGAAGAAATTAGGAGGATGAAGGAAGAGGTGAAAGAGGGAATTAAAGAGCAAGGGAGAATGATGAGAGAGGAGATAGAAGAGTTGAGAAGAGAAATAAGAGAGAAGGAGAGGATATGGAGGGAGGAAAGAGAGGAGACCAGGAATTATATCAAAGGGTTGGAGGGGACGATAGAGATACTGGAAAATTGCTATAAAGGGGGAATAGAAGGGAAGAAGGGAGAGGTGGGGGACAAGGGTTTAGGGGGGATGGAAGAGAGGATGAGCAGAGTGGAACGAGGATTGGAAAGGGAGGAAAGGGAGAAAAGGAAGAGGAATTTGGTGTTTAAGGGTATAAAAGGAGAGAAGGGAGATGCGAGAGAAGAAGTTAATAGGATAGGTAGAGAGATAGGAGTAGAAATAGAGATAGAAGAGTTGAGAAGAATAAGAACAGGAAAGGGGGAAAAGGGGGAGATGATAATGGTAAAGGTGAGGAGTGAGGAAAATAGAAGAAGGATTTTAGAAAATAAAAAAAAGTTAAGAGGGAAAAAGGTTTGGATAGAGGAGGATATGACATTTAAGGAGAGAAAGATGAGATAGAGATTGAGACAGATAGCGATGGAAGAGGAGAGAAGAGGAAGGAGAGCGAAAGTAGGATACGGCAAAATATGGATGGAGAATATGTGGTGGTACTGGGATGAGGTGGAGGAAGTTGTAAAGGATGGAAGAGGAAGAAGATGGAAAGAAAAGATGGCGGGAAAGATGGAAGAGGAGGAAGAAGGAAGCGGGCAGTAAAGGAGGGAGGCGAGAAGGAGAGGAGAAAGAAGGGGTGGGGGAGCGGAGAAGAGGGAGATAGTTGGAGGAAGGTTGAGGAGGAGCCCTGCCGAAAATGGTCGATTAAAACGGATTAAAAAAAATGTAATCCGAATCGATCGGGATTTCTGCACCGAAAATGCGGTATTAAAACCGATTGAAAATAGTCAAATCGAATTTAGTACGCTTCAGGCGAGGTTAATGTTGGATGATATATCTCCACCTCAATCCGAAATTATACGATTTCATAAAGTTATAATTAAACCAGTTTTAATGTAATTGAATTGGAATTTATCATAGTCAATCCATAGGTAAAAATAATCCCGTTTAATAAAAAATTTTATCATTTCGCAGATGAAAAGTAAATTGATTTTATGTAGTGTGAAGTCGGATTTGCTGTTATCATGAGTCACAATCAATTATTAAATCGGTGTTTCTACAATTGAAACGGACTCAGTTGTTAAAAACAAATATACGATTTCACCGCAGAGGGTCCTTATATCCCCGCTTGACCGCTTTCTACTTCCAGGTTGGCTCGCTCGACCTTCGCCGCGTAGCGGCGCCGCTCGGAACTATGCGCGAACGCGCGAGCGCGTGGGCCGCCAAATTGCGGGTCGCACTATTGTATCGCGGATTATGCTTAATGTGACGACCTACGGCAGCCACAATATCCATTCGATTATTCGTGTTTATTTGGATTGACAACAATATGGATTAGAATGTAATGATTTTAGATTGGAAATAATCCGCGAAAGCGATATTAAAACCGATTATAATTCGTTCGGAATTAAAATCGATTACTTCTTAATCCGGGCGCGGATATAACCGATTAAAACCGATTAAAACGGATTATGTTTTAATCGGTTTTAATCGACCATTTTCGGCAGGGAGGGCTTAAGAGAAACGGGGGAGGAAAGGAAAACTGAAGGGGAGGAAGAGGAAAAGGAAGGGCACAAGGAAGAACTGTGGAATGTAGGAGGGTGCAGCAGCAGGGATGGGGAAGGGAGGGGAGAAAAGAGAAAAACTAAATAAGGATCTAAAGAGAAGGAAAAAAGAGATGCATGGAAAATGATATTTTGGAATGTGGCCGGATTGAAGAACAAAGACGCGGGTTTTTGAAAAGGGTTGGGAGAGTGGGATGTTATTACATTAATGGAGACATGGATAGATGAAAGGAAATGGATAGAGATAAAAGGAAAGCTACCGAAAGGTTATAGGTGGGAGAAGCAATACGCGGTAAAGAAAAATAAGAAAGGAAGGGCAATGGGGGGATGATAATGGGAATAAGAAGAGAGCTGGCAGAAGAGAAGGAGGGAATAGAGGCAGTAGAGGAGGAAGTGATGACAGGAAGAGCAAGGGGTAGGAGAGGAAAAGTGGCGGATAGTGGGAGTTTATTTAAAAGAGGATATAGAGAAAAAACTGGAAGGATTAAAGAAATGGATGGAAGGTAACGAGGAGGAGGAGACAAGGATAGTAATAGGGGGGGACTTTAATGCGAGAACAGGGGAAATAGGAGGAAGAATAGTGATAGACGAAGAAGAAAATAATCAAAAGAGCAAGAACTCTAAAGATAAGAAAGTGAATAGGGAAGGCAGAAGGCTAATAGAAGTGTTGGAGGAAACAGGGTGGTGCATTTTGAATAGGAACACGAGAGGAGATGAGGAAGGAGAGTATACGTACACGGGGAGTAGAGGCAACACGGTGATAGACTATATAATAGGGAACGAGGAGGTAAGAGAAAAAGTAGTTAGATTAGAAGTAGGGGAGGAGGTAGACTCGGACCATTAGCCAGTGATCTGCTGGATAAAGGGAAAAGAAATAGAAAAAAGAAGGAAAACGGGAAGGAGGGTGAGGAGAGGACGATGGGACGAGGAGGGGTGTGAGAGATTTAGGAAAAAGATAGGAAGGATAGATATGAGAAAGGATGAAGAGGTCAGAACAGAAATAGAGAGAATGAATGGAAGGATAAAGGAAGCGATGGAGGAAAGTGAAAAGGGGGTGAAGGAGGTAGGAAAGAGTTATTGGGGATGGTGGGATAAAGAATGTACAGAGAAGAAAAAAGAAGTAAGGAGAGAGTTAAGAGAATGGAGGAGGGGAAAGAAGACAGGGGAAGGATTCAGGGAAACAAAAAAAGAGTATAAAGAACTATGTAAAAAGAAAAAGGGGAAAGAGAGAGAGAGAGATTAATTAGAGAAGTAGCAGAGGCGAAGACATAAAGTAAGGTATGGGAAATAGTAAACAGGGAGAGAAGAAAAAGGAAAGGAATAGAGGAAGGGATACAAATGGGAGAATGGAAAGAACATTTTATGAGGTTACTAGGGGGGGGTGGAAGAAAGGGTAGTGAGAGGACAGGAGAAGAAAAGAAGGAAGGAAGGAGAATCAGATATAGAGTGGGAAAATATTAAAAGAACGATAGATAAGTTAAGAGCAAATAAGGCAACGGGAATTGATGGGTTACCAAATGAAGTTTGGAAATACGGAGGAGAGGAAATGGGGAAATGGGGGTGGGAAGTATGTAGGAGAGTATGGAAGGGAGAGGGATGGCCGGATGAATTGAAAGAGGGAATGATTGCGCCAATAAGGAAAAAAGGAGAAGGAGGGGAAGTGGAGGACTACAGAGGAGTGACGCTAATGCCAACCTTATACAAAGTATATACAACAATTCTGGCGGAGAGATTAAGGGAGGAAGTGGAAGTAAAAGAACTAGTTCCAGAAAATCAAGTGGGTTTTAGAAAAGGAAAAGGGGTAATGGACAACATTTACGTGCTAAATTATATCGTGCAAAGACAGATTGCGAAGCCAAAAGGGAAGGTAGTCAGCCTGTTTGTAGACCTAAAAGCCGCATTCGATACGGTAGATAAGGAGATATTGGTAAGAGCGATAAGAGAAAGAGGGGTAAGGGAAGGTTTGATAGAGAGGATAGAAGAGGTGCTAAGAGAGACGAAGAGCAGAGTAAGAATAGGAGGGGAGGTAAGTGAAGAGTTTTGGTTAGGAAGGGGGGTCAGACAGGGCTGTCCGCTGAGCCCGCTACTGTTTAATATGATGTTGGCGGATTTAAAAGAGGTTTTAGCAAAAGGGGGATGGAGAGGAGTAAGATTAGGAGAGGGAAAGATTTATGCATTAGCATACGCGGATGACATGACATTGGTGGCAGATGATGAGGAAGGGATGAGAGCGATGCTATCGAGGTTAGAGGAATATTTAGATAAGAAAGGTCTAGAGGTAAACGTTGAAAAGACAAAGATATTAATATTTAGAAGA